GGGGGGTGTTCCAAATTTCCTGGGGGGTTTCCATGTTGGAAAAAATTGAGGAAAATGGTGAAAATATATGATTTTTAAACAAAATCTCAGGGTGGGGGGTTTCCTGAAGCCCAAAAAACCCCTCTGGATCCGCCACTGGGATGGTATTCTGTTAGCGGTCGAGTCAAGGTTTCACTAAGACAGCAGCATTCAAAAGTCTCGTCGCATTGGAGAACGTTTCAATGACGCCTGTGTTGTGGAGCGACGTGCATTTGGTGGAGTCAGTGTTATGGTTTGGGGAAGCATCACGTCAACCGGACGAACACCTTGTGGTCATCGATGACAATTTGAACGCGGTTCGCTACCGTGACGAAATTATCGTCCGGAGCGAATCGATTTTCTAGCGCAGCAGAACATCGATGTATTGCCTTGGCCTGCGGTTGGGATTGGTTAAAACACTCGTTGGCCTTGACCGTATTCTGCATGCAGCCCACCCTGCTACACCTTATATTAGCACCGGTATAGTCGATTAAGACATGTCACGTGGGAGTAGTCCAATCAGTTAGTTGCTCGCGCCTCATGTTTGATATTCTTGGAACTTTTTCTATACTTTGCACTTTAACATTAGAAATAACATAAAAAGACCATTGAATAAACTATAACTGATTGCACTAACATGTCATCTGAGATGTTATAGTCATCTTAGTACTTACCAGCATTGTACTAGCCTCGATCCATAGTGACTGGAATGTTGTATTTGAAGCTTAAATTAATTGTATTCATGGATTGTATCTATTGAGAATCTTATAACACACCCGGACATGCCTTACGTTCAAGGAAGGATTTTACCTGAAGGCAGCAGGGCCATAATTCGGCCAATTACAATTGGAAAAGGTATTAGTCTCCTAAATGTCTTCAAAATTTCCTAAAATAATGCAATCGTACTAGGAAAGTCCTAGCACGAGTTTCCTCCGGCCCTGACACCAGACTAAGATATTTTGACAGATAGATGTTTCACACCAGACATCTATCTGTCGAAATGTCTAAGTCTGGTGTCAGGGCCGGAGGAAACTGGGGCTAGGAAAGTCCGTTTTGTTTTGACTACTATTATTACTCACAATAAGACACCTCAAAACTTAAGTACTTCCAATGAGACCATCTTACATAACGTCCATTAGTTAATTAAACCCTGCTAGCACGAATATTGCTAATACTTTGAGAACGATAGTGTTTTACTCCGAAATATTAAAAAAAACTTTAGGGAAAGACAAATTCAGCAGGTTTTCTGTATTTCAATGAAAACTAACTGTTGACAAGTTTTATCCGCCGATATATCGATGGATATCCTATTGCAGAAAAGACATACTATATTTAGACATTTAGTTAATCTTCGCATTAGAAAAACCGATGGGGATTTTCCACCATAAAGGAATTTCGAAATCTACAAATGCTTTACAAAATTTGCAAAGACGTGTATCTTTACTTCATTGCTACGTACTGGCTAGCATGTGTTTTTCTTCAGACTTGGAAACCGTCAAGGTCAGCTAACTATCGCACAAAGTGGTACAAAAGTAAGGATTCTGGCACAGTCCCCCGCCTATATAATCCTTACCACCACCCCGCACCACCCTGCAGCACCACCCTAACCGGGTGGTACCGTTATGATGACGTCACGGGTGGGTTCTGGCACAGGGTCATTGAGTGCAGTCTCCTATATAATCCTTACCACCATCCCGCACCACCCTGCAGCACCACCCTAACCGGGTGGTTCCGTTATGATGACGTCAAGGGTTTTCCCCGATTGCATCACGTTTAGAAATATCGAAACCGGTTTCAACCGGATCGGTGATGTTTTGGAACCTTCTAGCATATAATACAATAACAACACAAATATACGTACAACATTTTATTTTCCCCGTCGCGATGGAATGAACGTGGGTCGGAGAGCCATCCTACATCCATCCTTACAAATATTACCTATTCTATCGTAGACAATATATCAATATTTACATCTACATGAAAGTCATCTACCACCCATGTTATGATACCGAAGCGATATGTTTATATGTACGCTCTTTCCAATAACATGGGGTCTTGACATTTTCTAGGGTAGTTCACTCTCCTACAAATCGGTTAAATCTGATGCGCGTATCCAGGAATTATTTTTTTAGGCCAATTTAGCCATTTCACGTAGTGTTGTTTGTTACGGCCTTTTCCTCTAGTTTTCAATATGGTTTCAACCTTCTACATATCGTCGTCCCTTACGTCAACTTTCTGTATCTCGGACTGATAGAAAGTACCTTTAATTTCATCGCCATCGTAGTCTTTGACTCTGTACACAGGCAAGCCTCCACGTAGTATCTTTTGAGATATGGTAAATATCTCCCCCGTCCATTTTTCGTCGTATTCCCGTGTGAATGGATTCCTGAGATGTGACAAACGCACTTTATCCCCTACTTTAAACTTGAACGGTTTACGAACTTTTTTAGTCTTTCGTAAGATCGGCTCTTTCTTTGGCCAGTACATTCTCCACCAGACAGATGTTTCGTTATCTTTGTTAACCTTAGTTGGAGTTGTCCCAATGGTCCTGTGATACGTCTTGTTGTAGCTGTCGGCGAACGTCTGGAGTTTTGTCACGTATTCATAATTCCTTATGTGCGTGAAATATCTATACATTCTTGACTTGATGGTCTTGATAACGCGCTCGGACACGGCAGCCTTGGTTTCATTTTGGGCATAAAGATGCTGAATGTGGTATTGATTTAGGAGATAGTTTACTTCCTTGGATCTAAACTCTTGGCCCTTATCGGTGCAGATCCTGCTAGGTTGTCTCCCCTCGCTGAGAATCTCACGAAGAGCCTTTGTTACAGATGCCCCTGTTTTGTCTTTTAGAGGTTTCATCCATAGAAATTTTGAGAACACGTCTATCACCACGAGTACGTAGGAATAACCGTTGTTTTCTTTCTGAAACTTGACCATGTCCATGAGATCGGCAGACCATTGGTCGTCGATTCCTGTTACCAAGATTCTGTTTCGTTTAAATGGTCGTCGGATGGATCGCTGAAGGTTGTACGGTTCTTGTCGCTGTAACCATTTTCTTATCTTATATTTACTGATAACGTATTTTCCAGCTTTTCTCACGTATCGATACAATTTATCAGGCCCAGAGAAACTCCCAGCATTGGTAGGATCGTAATAAATTTCTCTTAAATAACCTTCCCAAGCAGACATCCTTCTTCATCGAGTTCTAGACGTTGTATGAGGTTCGTTCTGATGTATTGATTCTTTTATTAGTTTTCTTCTTCAGAATTCTCAGACTCTTCCTCTTCATTATCCTCATCTTCGGATTCATCATCATCATCATCATCATCATCATCATCATCATCATCATCATCATCCCACATCTCTTCTAAGACATGACGGTTCTTTTTGAGTGCCATCTTGATCGCTTTGCGATCCTCATAACCATCGTCAACGAATTCTACGACATCTTCCATGACTTTCTCGTGAACCAATCCGTCTTGTAACTGAAGAATATACCGGATAATTGACCCGTATTTTTCGTTAAATAGATCCATGTCTTTAGATTTCATCTTTTCGTTTGCTTTCTCCTGGGCTTCGCCTTCAGACATATGTTCATTTACGTATTTCTCATACTTTTGATTCCATTTCTCCTCGTTTGCAGACCTGACTTCATTCATTATGCTATCGAAAGCTTCGTGTTCTTCAGTATCTCTATTTTCCTCGTCGGACTCCATATCTTCATATGCGATCCACCTTTTTGGTTTAGGCTCATCTTCTTCGTCTATAGATTCTCGTTTTCTTTTAAGGGAGTCGTTTTCCGAACACCATTTTTTCACGTGTCTCTGTAAATCATGCATGTCTTGGAACACAATACCACAATCGTCACAGGCAGGCATTTCTTCTGTTTCTAAGGACAGCTCTTGATGTTGTTGTTGTTGCTGCTGCTGCTGCTGCTGCTGCTGGTGGTGGTAATACGTCCGTTCGGTTGGAGTGTCAGCCTCAAAATGATTCTTAGTTTGGTCTTTCTGCCCTTTTATAGGCTGTCCAGAAAAAAACATCACTGCGCATGCGTAATGATTCGGGTGTTGATGGTTTCAAATCGACGAGAAGATATCCATACGGCTTGGTGGTGGCTTCCTTGAAATGTCTAATCAGGTGTTGAACGTTTTCAGGGTACATCTGTCTGGCAAAAGTCATGATCTGCTGTTTATCGATGGGATTATTGAACAATACCAAATAGTGACAATTTCTGCTCTGTGTGGGGTCTTTATTGTAGTAGAGGTTCTGATTGATGGCAATGACAGACATGTTTCTGTGGTGGCTTCCCTCCGTAAACAATTCGTTAATCTGAGGGTCTTTGCTTGCTGTCGACATCAGATCGTCCAAGATGACAAGGTTTCTTACTCCTGGATTCAGGAAGGAATCCTGGTCTAAATCCAGCGGTATCCCCTGAATAAATTCAACCTCTGGTATAACGGTTGACTTGATAACGTCATAGAGGGGCTGCCATCGTTTGTAGAGCCATACAATCCTTTGCGGAGGAGGTGATATTTTGGTCAAGCAGTTTTGTAGCAGTAACTTGACAAAGTAAGTCTTTCCACAAGACGTGGGTCCCGATACATTTGCAGTGAAGGGGTGTTTAAAAACAAAATCCTGCTGCTGCTGCTGCTGCTGCTAGGTAAATACAGCATATACCGGCTGCTTCATAATGTCTATGTAGGATGGTTGCTGCTGTAGTTGCTGTAGTTGCTGTAGTTGTTGTTGTTGTTGTTGCTGCTGCTGCTGCTGCTGCTGCTTCGTCACTCCATCTCCATGGTAGGACGGTTGTCCGTCCTGATGTTTGTGTCTTACGTGACGTTTTAAATCATGTGGCCAGATATATTCACTCAAGCAAATATGACACTGGTACTTCATATCGATGTGTACTCTTCGGTGTCCAGGTATGAAATGAGAAGTTATCAGACGAATCCTCTATTTATAGTCTCACAAGTATTGCATTGTGGTTAAAATTAAATAATAAAACAATTGCTAGTTTATAACATTTTATTACATACATCAAAGATACGTCATATGTACAATAAAGAACCTACTCTTAAATGGACAATATACACATTTATATTACTCAGTGGCGTCTACAACCCGACTTGTACTACTCGGGCAATCTCGTGTACACCCTTTCCCATGAAACGGGGTCCTGACATTGGACCTTTCTTGGGTAGTTCACACTCCTATTCTGGTATCCTCCAGTGTCCGTAGGCCAAACTCGATATTCCGTTTTGTAGGAGATACCTCTTGTCGTCGAATGGTGATAGACCCCTTTTGGTCATGGATATATTGTAGATTTGATGCTTATAACTTCTGCTCTGATTCATTTGGGACATAACGACTTTGTTTTGAAAAAGACAGTCCTTGTAATGCTTGAAACGTGTATGGTTTTCGATGACATATTTTTTAATGCCTTTTGCCTTCTTTGATTCTACGTAAGTTTCCACCTCTTTGCCATCTTTCTCTTCCTTGACGTCATATGTGTACGCATACATTTTAGCCTTAAGGCATGAATAGCGTATCCGTGGGTCTCGTCCTTCATTTTCCCCAATTCTTTTTTGTTTGTCAAACTGTAGAGGGGGTGATCTTTCTTATACTCCGATGTGTCAAATAAGTGTCGGTCTTCTAGCATGTCTTTGTAGATGTCCTCGGTTCTGATGATGTAGGCTAGAGAGTCAGTGTCTGTAAAAAGGAGGGTTGCCCTCTCTCCAAATTTTGTTTTGATGTAGTTGTAATGGAAATCATACATCAATGTTTTGGAGATATCCAGGATGGAGAATCCGACGTAAATGGGTCGGTTCAGATATAATTTAGATTTAAGCATGTGGACACCGACCAAATCCTCCGTGAAGTTCCTGAATTCGTGGAATGTGGGTTTACATGTTAATTTCATGGCCTTCTTCTCACTGTTGACAAGTTTGACATCCATCCTCTTCCTTAAATTTTCCATAGTCTTCCCGAAAACGCTGTTGTTCATCAGTTTGTAGAAGTCTTTCTCGAAATTGTTTCTAGATTGTTTCCTTTTCTCCGTGTTGTAATCAATATACGTTTTCAACCATGGAGACTGTTTGAAGGTAAATACTCTGTGGACTTTTGTGAGCTTCATTCCAAAAGAAAGATATTGTTTCAAGTTCCTATAATGCAGGACATATTTGTCCCTGTTTCTAAGATTAGGAACGAGTTTTTGAGCGGAATTGTAATGATCCAAACAGTCATGTGGTTTTTCATCATCATGTGGCTTTCCACAGTCTGCCAGCTTACGCCATAAGGTCTGGCTGTAGTCAGACAGTTCCTCATTCCCCACGGCTACTCGTTCTGGGGCCAGTGGATATTCGTTGTGTAGGTCGTGGAGTTCTGGAGGATACTCTAAATCCACTTCCATTATGTATCCATCCGTTGCATGATCGGGAACTGTCGTGATATCAAGCATGTCCTTTTCAGCATCGGTAAGCCAGGTGAAGTCATGAGTCGGAAGGAATTGCGACATGGCCCAGCCATATAAGTTATTGGCGTCTAAGTATGTGATGTAATCTGTTGGTTTTGTTTTGTCATGTCCGGGGACATATGGATTGTTAGCTTCAGCAAACCGATGACTAATCATCGATATGCCTCCCCGCAAGCCTTTCTCGATAATTAAGTGCTGATCGATGTCGGTAAGCAGTTCGAGTCTAACATCAGTCATCTTCAGCGCTGCTTGCCATGCCAGTCCAGGGGCGGTATAAAAATGAGCTGCATCGAGCCCATATGATTCCAGACATAAATTTCGGAAGTTCTCGAACACATCAGCAAGACCCAGGACATCTGTCATGACATACAGGTCGGAATATTCACCGAGATTTTTTATGTCGAATTGTTTCCAGACTTTGAGAACATGATCGTATTTTTCATCTGATACGTCCTCTCCAGTTAGACTACTACGAAACGCTTCCTGTGGTGGTAATCCGGTTTCATGAAATCTGTGGGGACCATCAAAGTAGTCGTAGGGATACACCTGTTTTTTTAAAATGAGCTCGATTTTCTCCTCACCGAAATGTTGTGTCATGTGTTCAAATTTGTCCTTCCCTTCCTCGGATAAATTTCCGATTAATTTCTCAAGCGATGTTCCCATAAATTGAAAGCTGTCGATGAAGTCCATACATCCTCTGGAGAAAGAAATGTACTTCTCCATATTGTTAGGTATACACTTTATTTCCTTATCTGACACCTTTCCGACTGCCTGCATGATTAGATGAGAATCGTAGCCCCTCAGATTATGAAAGACGACAGGAATGCGACCCGTGTACTTGTAATTTATATTACAGTCATTGTGCGCCGCTCCTCTAAACGCTCCTGTCACATGGCAGTGGTCCCTCACTCTGTCATCTCCTAACTCCTTTCCACAAATGTGACAGTCTACTGCCGTCTTGAAGGCTTGCCAATCTCTCCCAGTCATGACCATTGGCTCCACATGTTTGAATTTTTGTTCTATGTCTTCCTGTTCCCTCAGCATACATTCTACAAAGTTTTCTGCAACATCCGGTCCCCGGTACACTACGGGCTGTTTGGAAGACTCTACGACTTTGTAGGCGAAACTTGATGGTACGTGTTGTGTGGTCTTTTCTGTATGTGATTTATTTGGGTCGACCTCACATCCATGTATAGGCAACTGGAATGATTCAAAGTCGGCATATATGATGTAAGGCACATTCAATTGCTTTCTTACATCCTTATAGTACAACCATTTGTCCTCTTCTGTAGGTAGTTTTACTTTCTGTGTCCCATGTTCCCGACAGTATGATATATGGTCATTGAGAATGCGCTCTTTGGTAAAACCCTGTAGGCAATACATGCAGTGGAAATACTGGTTTTTACATGTGTGTTGATCGCTCAACAGACGATCTACATTCTTTATCCGGCAGTAGTGGGACTTGCGTCCATCCGTTATCAGCAGTAAATCTACGTGTCTGTCAAATCTTTGCTTTGTCACGTGGATTGGAAATAGCGAACCTTTCTCGTATCCTAAGACGTTGACCGTGATCTTGTTCTGTGTCTCGAATTTATTGATGTCCGCTACTTTCACAGGGAGGGATATACCATCAAAGTTCAGCTCGTGTTGGTGACCTATGTATTTGCTGATACGCTGTGGGTTTTTCTTCTGAGGATGGAGAGCAGCAAGCACCGACCACATGAAACATTTCTTGTCCTTGTTTTGAACATTGACTATCCCATGCTTATTCCTCAGTTTGATTGGCAGGGGAATATAGCTGGATCCTTTCAGGGGTTTATATTTTGCAAAGTGTATCTGGATTTGAATCACCTTATCCAATGTCCAGTTACTTCCCTGTCGTTGGTAATCTGTAAACGAATTTTGAATTTTTCGGATGGATTCCTGCATACTTTCGTCGATGTCGGATGATTTTAGAGTTATCTGACATTTTCCGCGAAAATGTGGCGAAACCCGTTCCACCGTCTCCCCTTTCGGTTTTGAGAATTGTACTTGAATAGATAAATAACATTTGGTACCTCCCTGGATCATAGATTTTGAAGAAATGTCATGATGTCTAATTTGGCTCGGCCCTCTGCAGGTAGAGTGATAATTTTGAAGATCCCCTTGAGTGTTTCCTCTGAGCATTCCTCAGTCTCCGTTTGGTGGTTCATCGTTTGGGTTGTGGGGTCTACAGCCGGAAGTGTCTGTGTAAGGTCGTTCTCTTTGTTATCGACTTTATTTTCATCCACCCCTCCTCCCTGCTGATTTAATATGTGGTTCTTCAAATGTTCGCGGTATTTGTCAGTCCTCCAGAATGATTTCCCACAACAGGTATGTGTAGGTTTCCCATGTAACTTTGTGTGCCTTGTTAAAAGATCTTTCCTTCTGAACTCTTTAAGACATAAATTGCATTGCCATCGTTGACTTCCATGACTAGATGTATGTCTTTTCAATGTCTTCTGGTGTTCAAACGTTTTATCACAATGGGGGCAGGACCATTTACCCTTCTTATCCAGGTGTGCAATACTGTCTAAGGCCTTCCTCTTCGACATACTGGAATGTATCGCGGTGCTCTGTAGAACTATACAGTATACTAATAGTCACACTGACAATAACTTTCTCCTCTGATTGTCTTCCTAAGAATGATTATTGCTTGATCCCTTGCCTCTATTTATACCCTCTTTAACCATCGGTGACATTCGTGTAATTTGATTGGCTAATTGAAATTTTACAGATTTATTGTGTAAATTTTGTGGTTTCAACAATTATTTTTTTTTAAAGTGATCGGACGCGCCCCGATTTCTAAACTATGTGTACACAGCGAGGTTAAATTTAGAACCTACGTCATACGATACACATATAGATGTTTGTATACACATACCTCCGCCATTTGCAATGGTGACATACACGATGGATTTATCGTTGTGATAGGGAAACATACAGGTTTGCAGATTAACGAATTATACCGGGATAGTAAAACGGTAAAATATCATAACTTATAAGAGAAATATTGTAGGCTGTAATGTAAACAACGCGATATTTGTTAAAAAACAAAGTCTGTCCGTTGGTAGCGTATGTAAATGCGTGATTGATTCACACACAGTGAGAGCACTATTGACATACGCATAAAGAACGTAGGCTATACGTTATTGGAAATGCTATAATACAGTTTTGTATGCGTGGAAAATGTTCGGTTAACATACAAAGTGTGTGACCTAGTCCTAGTCTGTATGGTTTTTATACGACGGAGTCGGACATAAACAAATAGCGAGAGCTATCTGTGGATATTGTATGAATGTACGTGGGGTGGCTCTCTGATCCGTGTCTGTTCTATTGACGGAGACAATAAAATGTTGTACGTATATTTGTGTTGTTATTGTATTATCTGCTAGAAGGTTCCAAAACATCACCGATCCGGTTAAAACCGGTTTCGATATTTCTAAACGTGATGCAATCGGGGAAAACCCATGACGTCATCATAACGGAACCACCCGGTTAGAGTGGTGCTGCAGGGTGGTGGTAAGGATTATATAGGAGACTGCACTCAATGACCCTGTGCCAGAACCCACCCGTGACGTCATCATAACGGTACCACCCGGTTAGGGTGGTGCTGCAGGGTGGTGCGGGGTGGTGGTAAGGATTATATAGGCGGGGGACTGTGCCAGAATCCTTACTTTTGTACTACTGCACAAAATCTAGATGTCCTTTTTATTGTTTATTTTCTTTGTTCAAAATAACATTGAATGCTGTGGTTTACTACACAGATAAAGATATATAGTGTTCACGACAATAGAATCTCTGTAGGCAATAGGTCTAGGAGAACAGAAATCTCGCATAGTTTGACATCACGCGAGTACGTAACTCAACGCCGTCATTTCCCGTTCCGTATACCTAGACGATACCTGTGCCATTGATTAAAATTAAACAATTTCTAATCAAATACATGTATGAGGCAGATATCTGGACATTTTTAAACAACATAATTCTCCAACCTATTTTTGTTTACTAATTTCATTTCTTTTTGGTCTATTGCTCATTACGAACACCAGTATACTGTCATGTGTCTAAGGTGGAGTCTATGAAACCACGTCAACAAAATTCCTCAGATATGTACGTGTCTGATTTAAAAATAATTGAACATGTTACATTTTCGGTTTTCTACAATTTGTCTTCAGTTTGCTTTCCAACATATAATAAATAGAGGATCTTACATGAGTGTATTAGGCGAGTGTCAAATCAAATTATTGAACGAGTTTAATAAATTCACGAATGCAATATTCTATTTATCACTTAACGTTCATAATTTGAAAATAAAACCATGTGTTATCAATTGCCTCTCTAAAGGTCAAAACCAAAGTACGCCGCTCCGCGCAGTGCAAAGTTTATTTCCAGATTTTTTTTTTAAATATTGTAGTTTTAAATGCAATGAAAATAATGACAAAGTAAACATTTCAAATTAATTTAATAGCAAAAATATTATGATTTATCAGAATATAATGCCGATAACTCCACAATTTTGTAGTTGCGTACGATGTCCCACGGTCTTGACCAATCGTAGCACATTTGGGTAACTTATATGAACAATATTATATTACATTTGAACCAAGTGACCCCGAGTTAAAAGCGATAATCCCGCAGAGGACTACATCTAATACAATCCACAAAATCACACCCAGAATGGTTTTAGTAAAATAAATGACTGATGACGTTCCGGTGGAGAAGCACTAGCATGTAAATCTTAATTGATTTAAGCGTGTATCAAATATCCTCGCCAAAACAAGCAAAATCATTGTTATATACATTCATTCAGCTCAACTTACCAAGGGTTTTCTAAAAACACGGAGAAAATTGCAGTGTTATTTTCCACCGACTTCAGTACAGAAACGGGTTTGATGGATATATATTTACATTCTGTATGCTTGTACCCATGGACGAAAATGACATTCATTTTTTCATAACACAGGTGACCTCATCACTGCGTATTGATACACTACAATGACGTAGCACAGGGCGTAGTTGGCTCACGTCCGGCGTGGAACAGCCCTCGATGTAGTTTTGTTATGCTAATATGAATTGGTATTAAACATGATTGATTTGATTTCAAAGCTTAAATAATGTGTGTAAAGTACATGATAATAATAAACCACTTTTATAAATTCTACAAAATTAAATTTGAAAAAGTATATTTTGTTTGTTTTGTTGTCATGCTGTTGCTAGGACCACCTGCAGAAGTTTGACATTTTCCCGCGAAAACAAACTTCTTAAATCGAAAATAATACCTAGATATACATTTAAGGAATGAAATTATTTGTTTCAACATTCATGAGGTCATAACAACATTGGCTTTCTGGACATATTTACCATGAATCGCTAACGCTAACGCGATTCACGGAATATTTCCAGAAAGCCAATGTTGTTATGACCTCATGAATGTTGAAACAAATAATTTCATTCCATAAATGCATATCTAGGGTTACTTAGCTCACCAAGAGTGTTTCATGAATAAATTCGGAAACTCAAACCAACAGCCCGGGCAAAACTCTAAAAGATGTAACAAAAAATTACGCACTCATGTCCTAGATAAATGTTCCTGTCCCCTTCAAACTCAACTAACCCGAAATTATAACTTTCGATACAAAAGTAATATTCTTCCATTCTCTTTTAATAAAGGCACTTGCGCAACTCCATCGTATCTCAAACATACGACTGTAACACGTTTCCAGCTTTGAGACGCGTCGCCCTTAGCCTCCTAGTAAATGTTCTAGTCAAAGGGAAACAATGATAAAATATTACTGGTCATAAAGCACTCTAAATAAACATATATTAATATTCATCCACTTGCACCAACAATAAAATATGTGACCTATGCTCCATTTCGATTGCAGAAGGACACTTTATCAAAAACCGCTAGTACAATCGAACATGGGTTTTCCGACGACGTCCTAGCTACAACAGACCTCAGCCCGAGTGTGGCGCTAATATCCGGGCCAACAAGAGTGATTTATAGACTATAGCCCGAGGGTGGCGCTAATATACGGGCCAACAAGAGTGATTTATAGACCACAGCCCGAGTGTGGCGCTAATATCCGGGCCAACAAGGGTGATTTATAGACCACAACCCGAGTGTGGCGCTAATATCCGGGCCAACAAGAGTGATTTATAGACCACAACCGGAGTGTGGCGCTAATATCCGGGCCAACAAGAGTGATTTATAGACCACAACCCGAGTGTGGCCTGTGTAACCAGTGTCGGTGATGTAAGATATGCCTGTGTAACCATTGTCGGTGATGTAGGACATGTCTGTGGTGTCGGTGATGAAGGACATGTCTGTGTAACCAGTGTCGGTGATGTAGGATATGTCTGTGTAACCATTGTCGGTGATGTAGGACATGTCTGTGTAACCATTGTCGGTGATGTAGGATATGTATGTGTAACCATTGTCGGTGATGTAGGACATGTCTGTGTAACCATTGTCGGTGATGTAGGATATGCCTGTGTAACCATTGTCGGTGATGTAGGATATGTCTGTGTAACCATTGTCGGTGATGTAGGATATGCCTGTGTAACCATTGTCGGTGATGTAGGATATGTCTGTGTAACCATTGTCGGTGATGTAGGATATGCCTGTGTAACCATTGTCGGTGATGTAGGATATGTCTGTGTAACCATTGTCGGTGATGTAGGATATGCCTGTGTAACCATTGTCGGTGATGTAGGATATGTCTGTGTAACCATTGTCGGTGATGTAGGATATGCCTGTGTAACCATTGTCGGTGATGTAGGATATGTCTGTGTAACCATTGTCGGTGATGTAGGATATGCCTGTGTAACCATTGTCGGTGATGTAGGATATGTCTGTGTAACCATTGTCGGTGATGTAGGATATGCCTGTGTAACCATTGTCGGTGATGTAGGATATGTCTGTGTAACCATTGTCGGTGATGTAGGATATGCCTGTGTAACCATTGTCGGTGATGTAGGATATGTCTGTGTAACCATTGTCGGTGATGTAGGATATGCCTGTGTAACCATTGTCGGTGATGTAGGATATGTCTGTGTAACCATTGTCGGTGATGTAGGATATGCCTGTGTAACCATTGTCGGTGATGTAGGATATGTCTGTGTAACCATTGTCGGTGATGTAGGATATGCCTGTGTAACCATTGTCGGTGATGTAGGATATGTCTGTGTAACCATTGTCGGTGATGTAGGATATGCCTGTGTAACCATTGTCGGTGATGTAGGATATGTCTGTGTAACCATTGTCGGTGATGTAGGATATGCCTGTGTAACCATTGTCGGTGATGTAGGATATGTCTGTGTAACCATTGTCGGTGATGTAGGATATGCCTGTGTAACCATTGTCGGTGATGTAGGATATGTCTGTGTAACCATTGTCGGTGATGTAGGATATGCCTGTGTAACCATTGTCGGTGATGTAGGATATGTCTGTGTAACCATTGTCGGTGATGTAGGATATGCCTGTGTAACCATTGTCGGTGATGTAGGATATGTCTGTGTAACCATTGTCGGTGATGTAGGATATGTCTGTGTAACCATTGTCGGTGATGTAGGATATGCCTGTGTAACCATTGTCGGTGATGTAGGATATGTCTGTGTAACCATTGTCGGTGATGTAGGATATGTCTGTGTAACCATTGTCGGTGATGTAGGATATGCCTGTGTAACCATTGTCGGTGATGTAGGATATGTCTGTGTAACCATTGTCGGTGATGTAGGATATGCCTGTGTAACCATTGTCGGTGATGTAGGATATGTCTGTGTAACCATTGTCGGTGATGTAGGATATGCCTGTGTAACCATTGTCGGTGATGTAGGATATGTCTGTGTAACCATTGTCGGTGATGTAGGATATGCCTGTGTAACCATTGTCGGTGATGTAGGATATGTCTGTGTAACCATTGTCGGTGATGTAGGATATGCCTGTGTAACCATTGTCGGTGATGTAGGATATGTCTGTGTAACCATTGTCGGTGATGTAGGATATGCCTGTGTAACCATTGTCGGTGATGTAGGATATGTCTGTGTAACCATTGTCGGTGATGTAGGATATGCCTGTGTAACCATTGTCGGTGATGTAGGATATGTCTGTGTAACCATTGTCGGTGATGTAGGATATGCCTGTGTAACCATTGTCGGTGATGTAGGATATGTCTGTGTAACCATTGTCGGTGATGTAGGATATGCCTGTGTAACCATTGTCGGTGATGTAGGATATGTCTGTGTAACCATTGTCGGTGATGTAGGATATGCCTGTGTAACCATTGTCGGTGATGTAGGATATGTCTGTGTAACCATTGTCGGTGATGTAGGATATGTCTGTGTAACCATTGTCGGTGATGTAGGATATGCCTGTGTAACCATTGTCGGTGATGTAGGATATGTCTGTGTAACCATTGTCGGTGATGTAGGATATGCCTGTGTAACCATTGTCGGTGATGTAGGATATGTCTGTGTAACCATTGTCGGTGATGTAGGATATGCCTGTGTAACCATTGTCGGTGATGTAGGATATGTCTGTGTAACCATTGTCGGTGATGTAGGATATGTCTGTGTAACCATTGTCGGTGATGTAGGATATGTCTGTGTAACCATTGTCGGTGATGTAGGATATGTCTGTGTAACCATTGTCGGTGATGTAGGATATGCCTGTGTAACCATTGTCGGTGATGTAGGATATGCCTGTGGTGTCGGTGATGTAGGATATGTCTGTGTAACAATTGTCGGTGATGTAGGATATGTCTGTGTAACCATTGTCGGTGATGTAGGATATGCCTGTGTAACCATTGTCGGTGATGTAGGATATGTCTGTGTAACCATTGTCGGTGATGTAGGATATGTGTCGGTGATGTAGGATATGCCTGTGTAACCAGTGTCGGTGATGTAGGATATGCCTGTGTAACCATTTTCGGTGATGTAGGATATTGCCTGTGTAACCAGTGTCGGTGATGTAGGATTTGTCTGTGTAACCATTGTCGGTGATGTAGGATTTGTCTGTGTAACCATTGTCGGTGATGTAGGATATGTGTCGGAGATGTAGGATATGCCTGTGTAACCAGTGTCGGTGATGTAGGACATGCCTGTGTAACCATTGTCGGTGATGTAGGATATGTCTGTGTAACCAGTGTCGGTGTTGTAGGATATGCCTGTGTAACCAGTGTCGGTGATGTAGGATATGTGTCGGTGATGTAGGACATGCCTGTGTAACCATTGTCGGTGATGTAGGATATGCCTGTGTAACCAGTGTCGGTGATGTAGGATATTGCCTGTGGTGTCGGTGATGTAGGATATGCTTGTGGTGTCGGTGATGTAGAATATGTCTGTGTAACCATTGTCGGTGATGTAGGATATGCCTGTGGTGGCGGTGATGTAGGATATGTCTGTGTAACAATTGTCGGTGATGTAGGATATGTCTGTGTACCCATTGTCGGTGATGTAGGATATGCCTGTGTAAGCAGTGTCGGTGATGTAGGATATTGCCTGTGGTGTCGGCGATGTAGGATATGCTTGTGGTGTCGGTGATGTAGAATATGTCTGTGTAACCGTTGTCGGTGATGTAGGATATGCCTGTGATGTCGGTGATGCAGGATATGCCTGTGGTGTCGGTGATGTAGGATATGCCTGTGGTGTCGGTGATGTAGGATATGCCTGTGATGTCGGTGATGTAGGATATGCCTGTGGTGTCGGTGTGGCTATCAGCTTTACGTATTTTGTTAAGAAGTGTCCAACTGGAACTGCATTCTCCTTCTAGTTTACATTCCACTAGCTCGAAAGTATCTGACACCAAAGAGATAAAAATATAAACCTTTTATTTCCACCATAAAAAATAAATATGCTACAGACGGGGTCACCTGTAGACCACTCTCTACATGTGCATTACGTTTTTATATAGTCAGTGTATCAATAAAGCTTTTTGTATCCGGCTTTCGGTCCCTGGTTTGTGTGTTGTTGGGCTTGATGAGGATATCCGTGACACTGTCCGAGGAAGCAGGCGGGGACCTTTTCGGGAAAAGTTGGATATCGAACGCACAATAGAGTGAGACAAACACATAAAGGGCCGTAATTGTTATATTAGGGAGGAGATCCTTATACTGTGTACCCAGCACCATGCTGCACCCGATGTAGAATGGACGCGCCACCATTATAGAGAATATATAATAAACAAGCGTCACGGCGAACACAGGGTTTATACGAGTGCACGTGCGGCAGAGATAGCGCACATCGCCTTCCCGACAGGGTGACAAACACTGCAACTGCGATAACTTCATTTCTGAAAGGGAAAAAGAACACGTTATTTCTTTAAGATAAATAGAAACAATAACCAGTTGGCGTTATTTGATATTAAACATCAATTTATCAAGGCTGCGAGAAATAGAATTCTATACAATATGTCGTCACTTCCGGAAGTACGATACGGCTGCAACATTCTGTCTTAAAATGACTTCAGCTGTTGCGATGGGTGAAACCCATTAACTACACACAAAAAAAACATATTCTGCTTATCAGCCTCTTTGATTTACAAATTCTTCAATATATTATACAATAAAATTATTATATAAGAAAAAAGTATATGCTTTTTGAGTGCATATCTGTCTTTCGCGGAGTTTCCGAAACTACAGGGACCTGAGAAATTGTTACAGCTATATTTTGACCTATACTGAGGTTTTCAGAGTGATTTTACATGTTTTATGGGTTAAAATCGATGATAATTGGGGGTTTCGTTTTTATCGAAAGTCATAATAAACCCATAAAACATGTAAAATTACTCTGAACGCCTTAGTTTAGGTCCAAATATAGCTGTAACAAATTACCAGGTCCCTGTGTCCGAAACCTGTAATGTTCAATATGCCGAGTTGCAAAGTTTTTCTTTTCTTTTTGAAATTACGAAAAATGAGAAAATTTCGATTAAACACGTTTGAGATATCAGTTTATTTGACATTTATACTAAATACAGTGCGAATCCGGTAAGAAACAAATTTGAATGGTAGCAAGTTATAAAATTGGCAATAACTTCCATAAGATAACACCAAATATGTTGCGTATACGAAAAGCACGTCTAAGACATTTCTATCTTTCTAATATCCTTCTGTGTAAAAAAAAATGGGTTGACAAAAACGATGCCATACAAATATATTGCAATATTTGCCTGGCAGTATATATATTACAATGTGAATCTGAAATGGCAATATATATTTCATATTAATTTCTGGTTATTTGATAAATTCGAAAATTCTTTAATATACTTACCAAACTAGAATTATGTCAGTGTGACATTAAAGCCGCTCACCACTTTAAATTTAATTGCTTCAGTAACACGTTGAGCATCAATATTTACTATAATAACTCAGGTATGTGTTCTGTATTCTGCTAATTGAAAATCAGGTCATGTGATGATGTTGCCTTTGGAGTTTCCAAAATTAATCACCCCTTAAATGATGCCTTAAAAACATTTCTCCCTCTACTCTTTTTTCACCCTCTTTTGTGACGCATTATTGTAATTTTCATTAATTAGCATCCTCCAATGATGTGATATGAGCATTTACATGCAGAATGGCAATCGGTGAATGGGTAATAAAGAATAGGTGCATTTTGAAAAGAGACATTGAACTCCTTTTATTTATATTTATTTTTTATTCATATTAATAATAATTATTAATATATGTAGTGACTTTATTTACTGTCATTGAATATACAATTCATCACAAAATCTCACAAATGTTCTTGGAATATATTTGAATTTTTATATTTCTCAATGCGACTTTACCTACGTAAGAGTTATTTCCCTTACACCGGATTGGATAATATTTTGACACAGCGCGAATTCTTGTCAAACAGCAGCGGCAGTTGTGTCATGTTCTTAAATTGTTACATTTTCATAAATAAATACACCAGAAATAGCATGCTGTGTTACAGAAATGTTTGATAAGCAGTTCACATATCGTCTCGTCTCGGAGCCACGTCCGTGGTAGCAACGATGGTTTATTACCGTTATCAACCTAAGCACGATATGATCAAAATAGAGGTTATACTTCATCACGCATACGGTTTATAATATATATATTTACTTCTTCCTTGTACTTACAAAATATAAAAAGCTAGACCGGACAGACGTGTGCTTTCTCGAATCAGAGTCACGAAAACAAACACTCCTCAATCCGAGTTGCTAAAACGCTCAAACCTAGTGCATGCATTTCACCACCACAACACTCGTAGAATGCACCGGAGATAAACATTTTGTTTGGAGAGGAGTATCAGAAGAATTTATGTAACCCACAAGTGAGTGTCAGAGATTCTACTTTCTATTTACGATAACGAAATTATATAGCGAAAGCAGGCAAGACTGAATTATGCGCACGCACCCCGAACGGAAGTGGGTCCGTCACTTCGTTCTCTGGACAGAATCAATAAGTCGCTCGGCTCTCGCCAAGAGCGGCTTAAAAATATCCTGAAAACTCTTTGAGCTAATGTTGTTACACTGGATTTCTAGGAATACAACATAACTCCCTACATATCAGAATAGGTATCAAAATATCACGCTGACCCGGAAGTAATTGGAGGGTTCATATCCACGATTGTTTTGAAACAAAACATTTAGTATATATTGGATTTGACAACTATCATATTTTGTTGTGTATTGTTTTGCATATGCAAATTTAGGCGTCTTATACAGACAATATTCACAAACCACTCCGGTGTTTCTATTTACAGACATCCTTGAGAGTAAAGACAAGGAGAAGTACCAAAGACATTTAGACCCTTAGATCAAGATTCTTGAATGTAAAACTCTCATCTAATCCCCGTTTTGACATTTAGAACTCTCGTTTCTCTAGGTAAGCCGAAGTTTCTTAAAACAAGAGGCCCATGGGCCTTAACGGTCACCTGACATCTGATTCAAATTAGGACTGTCATCCAGTGGTCAATTCATACTTTTCGTCGGCCCGAGTGACCTTGCTGCATCGTCCATTAATTTTTCCTTGTGAACACAATAACTTAAGTAAATATGAACCGATTTTGATGAAACTTTGTATGCAGCTTTGTATCAATGATATCTTGGATGAGTTTGAATACCGGACCAATTTGACCATAACTTACATAGTTATTCCCCTTGGTAATTCTATTATTGTTGGACCCTGTGAACACGATAACTGAAATAAATGGGTGTGACTCCAATTTTGACCCCGAGGGGTCTGTTTTGAACAAACTTGGTAACTGTATGTCTTCTGTTCTTGGTTAAAAGAAACAAGTAAAAGCGTAAATCAATGATTTATTTAATAAGGCACACAATTTTAATAGCACCTTGTTAGTAGCAAAAATGCGTCATGAATGAAAAAAAAGGTGTACCACATGAATTTCCATCTATTCTTGTGTAATGTCAATCAACATCACAGGGACAAATAAAAATATAATGACAAAGGGCAATAACTCTGCAGGTTACCGTCAAATAATAACCGGACAAAGTTTCATTGAACTCCGTCAACATTTATTCAAGTTATCGTGTTGACAAGGTCCAATAATATTATTATTACAAAGGGCAATAATTTGTAAGTTATTGTCAAATAAATCCCAGTTTCGAACTCATCCGAGATCTTATTGATATAAGGCTACATACAAAGTTTCATCAAACTCGGTTAACATTTACTCAAGTTATCGTGTTCACAAGGAAAAGTTAACGCACGACGCACGACGCACAACGGACGACGACGGACAAAAGGCTATCACAATAGGTTACCATCACCTATGGTCAGGTGACCTAAAACGCTAAGATAATGCAGTATACCTACAATAGCCTATAACATTTGGCTCATCCTCGATATCAAGGGGCTCATTTTCGCTCTCTGCAGAGATCGTGGCGTTACCCTGGGATCGTGCACAGGGGCATGGATCGCTTTACTTGTAATATAGTGGTCTCCTCTACTAAAAAATACATATCTCTTTGTATTTTTTAGTAGAGGAGACCACTATTTTTTTAATATTACAAGTAAAGCGATCCATGCCCTTGTGGGATCGTGCACGGTCGTTCCACCAACTTACCTTGATCTAGCATCTTTGCCTTTTGTGAGCGATACATGAAGAAGAGGAGGCACACAAAAGGGATGTAGATGGTACCGTACTCTAACAAGGTAACAAGGCCGTCCGAGTAGGGATCACGCTCACACACAGTCACGTACAATAGTTCACTCTTCAACTGCAATGAGGGTAATTGGTCGCGGCGTTTTGAAAATCCTACAGATTTGATGATTATTACTGACGGCAAAACAATCCCTGTATATATAAGTATAATTTTACGGATTGTATTCGACTGTTGCACGTGAAAAGTTTCCTTGATGGTTGAGAGACCTACTGCCAACAGAGACACAACCATGGCAACCAAGCACACGGAGTAAAAGTCAGCACAACCCTCAGTTTGGATCGTTACGGTATCGGCAATGTGTTTTGCTGTTTGCAGTATATATATTGCATACAGTTCATGAATGAAGCCACAGAGAAGGAAGACAATTATCGTAGGACTGTTCTTACACCCAACCCTCGCTATCCGTCCTATGGCGACAACGCCAACCCCGAGGGTCAGCGCTATGATCAGAAACTGCCATATACTGAAAATCACTATTACGTCCCCTTGGACTCCCGCTGTATCAGATTCCGGCGTGTGCAAGTCGATCGGCATATTGACCATTGATCTCTTCGTCTATCACATTTTCTGAAACAAACAATAATGGCAAAAACTTAATTAGCGTAGATTATTTTAAAGAAGCAGTTATAGAGAGAGATACGATATTTTTCAAATATATAAAGTTCATTACTTTTTACTTTTCCTTTAACTATTTATTTATTTATTTATTTATTTGACCAGTCGTTTTTCAAAGCTTTAAAGTAATTCTTGATCGGGACATGTCTTACATTTTACCGATTCGTTTGGTATGTTAAGTAGTTCAAACCGTTGACTGTTCTCTCAACAATATTGAAGAACTGCCGCTCGATTAGCCATTTATTATTGAACCGGTGACGGCTTCTAGCTGTTGACCTCGAATGTTTACTTTGTGGAAATTCTAATGGAATGTATAGCGACAGCAAAACGTTAGAGTAAATCATATCTACCAGGACGTACCGAAAATGTTGACGTCTTGTCTTCCCTAGGCATGTAATGGACAGGGTCATTATATAGCGAACAGTGACTACCGGGATACGTTATCGCGTCTTAATCAGAACGGCACTGTGTGTAACAGTGAGAAATGGCCATCGATCCGGAAGTAAACCTATAACAAACGCTGGCCGACATCTATCACAGACACTTGACGTTATGCTTACAGCTTTGAATGTTATAGATATAACAGCTAAAACAATAACGAGAAAAACGATCTATTGCGAGAAAAACAATGAGATCGTGGATAAGGATACTCTAATCTTATTGACAAATACAAAGTAAAGTCATGGCTGCATCGGCTATTGTTAATTATATCTAAATACAAACAAACACCTAAAATATTAATACACATGGCTTGTGCTTGGTCTACTTACACATAGAAACTATTGTGTGTATATATACTATATGGGGCAAAGAAGTAATTCCAACAGTGTGAAGTACAAAATTTGGATTTTTTTTATATAGGATAGTGAAAGTAGATTCGAAGTGCATTCAACCATAACATACAAAAATGTTACCCAAATGCAGGATTATTACCCATATGCGCCGTTGTGCCCAACCTGATAAAGTTCTTCAAAACGTATATGTGTTGTATCTATACCACAGGGAATAGTATTCGTAATGTATGCATACTTCCCTATGTTCTTCCCCTTGGGCTTCACTTAATATCTATTAAAGCAAAGGGGTTTTTCTGACTTCTAAATGATTATCAAATTACCTAAAATTTACTCAACTGAACTGTAAAATACTACAGAATGTACTAAGTACCCCGTAGGATCAGTACAGCGGTGTACAGTCGTGGTGTCTGACTAACATTTAGACGTCGATAACAGTATAGGTAAATAAAGTCACTATGTTTCCTGTGCATGTGTGTATAATTCAGGCGATTTCCCTTGAATGTAGTACATTGAAGTGTTGTATACAACATGGCTGCCTATATGTACTCGAGCAGAACTTCTGATTCTGGTCAGTAATCAGCAACAACCTTTTCGGATATACACAACATTATTAATACAAGTTCATCAGCGTGATATTTAGACTCACCTGTTCAAGGCTATGTTGGTACGTGTAGGTGTAATCTCGCGCTACCACAGTAATGTTCCAGCCAGACAAATCAGCTAGTACGTACGGGTAGCCGGTTACCAACACTCTCCAGGCTAAATATGGCATGTATATATTTATTTTTAAAGGGGCGGTCGCGCTCTATATATGCTGTAACCACGTGGTTGTAACACAGCTGTCAGAACACGTTCAGGGTATGTGATACAATGTCATAGCTCGCGGCTAGATCCATAAGTAATCTTATTAAGTTTGCTGTGTGCTATTTTAGTTTTTAGTTTTTTCGAAGGAGTGGCGGTGGTGGTGTCGGCGTAAACGTCAAACATTTAGCTCAAACGTTAAGTTTCGTTCTGAATCGAATATAGATGCAGTTAACACTCTGCATCATATCTTTTGCTGCGGATGCTAAGTGTGACTATTATTTCATGTCTAGCTGTGTTGAAGGTAGTTTCAAACAACGCAGGAGAAACCGAATTTGAACAGCACTTCATATGTTTAAAAACAATCATAAAACTTCGACACTTTCTGCAGTACAAGATTTATGCAGGTATACTGTTTCGATAAAAATGCCACCCCAAAGATTATTATTATTTCCTTTATTTCCTCCAAAAATGAGGAGTTACAGAAATAAAGAACACTACACGTACAATTCAGACACTATTGAAGGAAAAGAAAATGCATTCTCGCTCATGGTCACATCCTCATATACATAGTGACACACATGCATATGGACAGACACACACACATTAGAATAATAATAGTACACGCATCATATACCATAAAGTACTATAAACACAACACAATGATATAATAGTTTCTATTACAGTTATTATATGGTGATAATTATAATGGTAGACAGTATAACACTCATCATACATTAAATCACACATTGATATAATAGACATATCTACACTCCTCATACTACATTATCATATAATAGTATAGACAGTAATATACTTCTCGTACTAAGCAATCATACAACATTGTAATAAACAGTATTACACGCATCACACAATACATTATACAGCATTATTATAGACAGTATTACTGTTACATATGTCTTACAATACAATCCTTCATTTAGTAGAACCCATTTCACGAAGTCATACAATATAGTCATACAGTGGTGTGAAATACACAATATTACACGCCGTACATGATACAACCATTAACTAATTAAACAGAGCAACCATGCAATGATTTCAGTTGTAGTAATACACACCACAAGATTAATTCATACAATACACACAGTATTATGACTGGTAGTAAGTTGCACTAATCATGCAGCCCAATTGTGCAATGGTATAACAGGAAAGACGTAGGAAGTGCTTGCCAACTAATATAAATACAAAAATATATGTATTTCATGTATTAATATTGCTGAAGCGATGATGATATACGAAGCTGGTATTTCATCATTGTGGTGGGATTTTTACCGAAAGTTGATCTTAACCCCTAGAATATAAACACCTTAGTTTAGGTCCAAATACAGCTGTAGTAAATCCTCAAGTCCTGTGGTGTATAACACACTTCATAGCCAACGCGATACGTTTTTGTGTTCAGATTAATTGTTTATCTAAAATGTTGTTGTTTTTTCGCGAAAACCCGACAAAATACTAACTCCTTCCTACCGACTCGTCTAGGGAGATTTTTTTAGCTCATTCGGTAAAATCGTTAGACTAGTAAAATGAATGTCCTGAGCTCGAACCCTAGCTAGTGCAGGCATTAAATAAACATTAGCCTATGTTATAGATAAATGGATATTTCAGGGAGTATGGGTATATTCATGTAGCTAAAAGTGTGAAGGGTCCTCTTATCACTGGCAAACACTGGAACTATACAATGGAAACTGACGATATCTTTGATAAATCATTTCTGAAAAAAAGCTTGAGGGACTTTTATGACAAAAACAGAGATTGGATATATACTAATCAACATCAGTGTTCTGTGTGTAAATTATGCAGAGTTAGGCAAGGATTCGAACATGGACATCGGACTGTTTATACTGCTAGTTTGACAACCTGAGTTATATGGTCAACAGAAATGCCCTGGTCCAATTGCAATACAGTTTCTCCAAAAGGAAATGACGGAAAGGTCATATACAAAAACCGAAGTGGAATTCTTTATAGTTTTGCTTGCACTGGGGCATTGGTCATTAAATCTTCATGCTTAAAATCGACGTATTGCACACCCAACGTCGGGTAAGGAGACATTTTATTTTACATCACAACAATACAGGTATGATCCCATCACACGTGTTTTTGTGTTTTTAATCTTGGTATGTACTTTGACTAGCCGTAGGTCGGTGTCTTTTCTCCGGGAACTCCGGCTTTCCTCCACCACCAAAACCTGACACATCATTAAATGACCGTAGCTGTTAATAGGACGAACCAGACTTGACTTGAATTGTTGTTTAAAGGGATAATACCTGATAGCATGGATGACTTGTTGACTCATGTTATAAGATGGTTTCATTCTTTATCATTAATTACAGCCCATTTTGTTACACTCATCAAGGTTAGACGCGCTTTAACCGGTTTAACAGATCCTTTTTCAATCTTTAGAATGGATTTTTAAATACCAGCTTATAAAACGTGCTTCTACGCCTCCTCTTTCAAATATCCTAGAAACGCCCCTGGAAGTCACTGAATTTTTAAATTTTAAATAGCTATGTGTATATCTATAGACATTTAAGTTGTAGGGAACTAGAGACAGACATGGAAAGTTTCAAACGATGGGAAATTATTTGGAGTCCGGCCTCCTCTGGTCTATCATCATCTCTACCAGTAGATCCTGCATGATAACTTATCATGTTGTACAGTATTCGAGCCACGAATATGAAGTTAAAATCGTTATTCACGGATAAGGCGCCAGCAATAAGCTGAGCCAATCGTTATTCTGTTTACATATGTTGCTCCTATCTCCATAATAAAGGAGGTTTTGAATGTTCAAGGTGACGAAAAGTAACAGATGTGGGAGCATTAATGACGTTTTACTGAGCTCGATATTTACGTAAGTCGTCATAGTAACGATACCTGTTGTTGTAATCAATACATGTATGTCATATCAGTGCGAACTCATGATGTTGACACTGCAACGAGTTATCGTTCCTGTTTCAAACACTTATTATAAGTATATGTGATTTGGTTTGGTTTTATTTTGTGTAACATGCTGTACACAGCTTATGTCATTTAATGACAAGCCTCCTTGTGTGAAATGCAAGCGTATATGTGTGCTAAAGGTGGTATGTTGGTGTATTTGTCTCATAGATTGCGATAAAGTGGACTTGATGCCAACTTTCAAGGAGAGTGCTACCTCACTGAAATAACATCCCGAAGGCATCTAGTACAGTATTCCAACCGATCACATTATATTGACTCGGGGTTAAGGAGTTGTTGCGATAACCCTAAATGCTGCAGCTAGTTTGTTAAGGACTTTGGTATGCCCCGGATCGGTAACAGAACCCAAAGCACTCTCCACTTGTGCGAACGTACGGCGAGCCAACATAACATTTATTATTTACAGATTCAGGTGTTATTGACTCAATAACCTTTGTTGAGGTCATTGTCATTATCTCTCGATAACGACAGTCATTCTCGTGCGCGAAGTGATACATACACCGTGTACGTACATCTGTGTACAACCCGGGGATTTCCAATTTCGGAAGATGACGTCAGGTTGTTTATAGCGCCTGATGATTACTTCACCGACTGAGGACGGCTGGATTTTGTGTGGTTTTCTACGTGTTTGTGTTCATTTACATACGTTTACTTTGATGACATAGTGTAAACCATACCCAGAAATACGATATTAAATTCAATTTAGACAATAACGTTCGATATACGGCAGTTTTGCCGTAATATTTTCAACTGCACTCGATAAGGCTGGTAGATAATGTCCATTAATGGTAATCACAGGATGGGTTCGATAAATTTACATGACCTTCATGTCATTTGCCTGCCTAAATACTGATAGTTAGATCACAGCACACAAACTGGGTTTTGTAATGATTGAAGTTAAAATCAAACTTTTAGAATTACTTCGAGTATTTGTGATTTTGTAGACATTATAGTTACTGTTGCCGTGGAGTCTACAAAAAACACAGGAGAGTTCCAAAACTGCGAGCCGTTGGTGCCATATTATAGCGTTCCGGAATTAAACGGAACATCTTTGGGTTTAATCGGCGAAGCGAAGCGAATGACAACGATATTATTAATCAATCAATCATTCAATTAATCATATCTTTGCCATTCCGTTATAGTCATAGCAAAATATTTTCATTAAGTATCCTCGGGTTACTTAAGGTGGCTCCACACATCGTCATCAGCGTCCATTTTCGTGACGTACTTCCGGAAAAATTACAGCTCGGACTCAATTATCTTGATCGAAATGTGCATGTACACCGTGTCGTCATTTCCGTATTGCGTATCGGGCATTCAATGTCGTTGTGCAAATTATAGTTACACCTTGGCCGTTTTCGTTTAAACGGTCAAACCGATCGGACCACTGTTGTTCGTTTATTAAATAAGGTCGGACCTAGTAATATGATGCTGCTTTTAGGCGAGCCGCGAGAAAGCCTTGCAAGGCCTGCATATACATTTGCAGGTCCGCCAGGATTTATACCCGAAATTGTTACATTTATAAACGGTCAAACCGGTTGCTCCGCATACACGAACAGGCCCCTGGTAAACAATAGTACACGTGCGTGCCGATGATATGTCAACACCCGATATCGAGATTTTACCGGGAAATGTATAATCACACGTATTTCAGGAATAAAGCTTTCAAATTCATAGACATAAACAGACTCACGGGAAGATAGTGACATGAGACCAAAC